GCCGTGTCAAATAGGGGACAGTATAAACGTTGGAGGCGACTGAACCCAACGTGGATTGCGTAGACTACAAAAATAGGAAGCGAATCAACCAGAGCGAGAAACGGTGCGGCAAGATACTCACCAAAACAATTTGTGTCAACGGAAGTGTCGTCAGTAAAAGAAGTAGAGGTTTTGAAGGTTAGAACAACGGTAAACTGAAATGTTGGAAGAAGTCCGTCAGAGCCGGTAGTCTTGAATCGTTTGAAGAATCGAATCTGGCGGGAGACTTCCACTGCGCTGGGTGGATTCAGTGGGACGAGCTAGGGTCGATAACAAGGTGTGCTCCATGCACTGATGGACGTGAAGGCCAGTTGAACTGCAAGTGAAAGTGCTCGGCCCAGTGGTCCAAACGCCTCGGTTGGTTGATGATCGGAGACCCATCCGACTCGCAAATAACCTCACCAGGCTTCTTGAGGCCAGTGGACCGAATCAGCTGGAAAAGCTTGCGAGTATTGCCAAAGAGAGCAGCCGCCTCCACCTCTGAAGCACGGTCAGACGACTAAGCCTCGCGCAACCATTGCTTGAGGAGCGGGTTGGAAGAGCGGCACCGCTGGTTGCAAGCTGATTCTGTCGTGATATCTCTGCGGCAGTCGAACACCTCCAGACGTGTGGCTCGCTTTAATTCAAGGCATATATGACACACAGGAGATATCGCTTCGGACTGGTCCCTAACTATTAGACAAATAGCAGATAACTCGTAGTCGCAGCGTAGCAATGTAAGACCTCCAATTAAACATTCTAGCGCCTGAGACAACTAATTAACAGCTAGGGGAGTTCGGTGGAAGCCGGTTTTTAGTAGGAATGTCCTCCTGCGCATTCTTCCATCTCATCCGGGAGTCGGGACACAACCGGTGTCTGGAAATCAGTAGAACGTACTAAAAAAAACATGAGTGGCTGTGGCGGCGTGCTTTAAACATGAGGAAGGAAAAAGAAACTGTGCTACAGCCGAATACCCACCCGTCGGAGAAGAATAAAACGCTTTCTTGTGTTACAACTCGGCCAGTACTGAACCACGACACTTAGTAGAATGCACCATTCGGCCCGTAGCGCACGACAGTAGAAGATGTCAGTTTCCGCAGTACACAGAATGTATTATATCGTCATAAACACAGCGCTTTGCATAAGTTCAGATAGTCAACGCAATCGTTAGCTGGCGTTAATGGATACACACATTGACTGGTGGATCCAACCAATAGGAACACAGTGTAATCGATGACTATCTTGGCGTTGGACTGGCACAAGGCGCAGGTGCCACATTTCTCCTCACTTTAATTGGAACTACCCCAGCTGGCCTGGTATCGCTCGACTGGTCAGCGTACTCGGCCTGAGCTGCCACATTGCAGAGTCTCTGATTGATTGTTATTCTACATGTCTTTCAACTCAGTGATTGATCTTGTCGATGCGTCGGCTGGCGGAACTGAGACAGAGCGGGAACGGACATGGTCCTTGTGCCGAATGACTACCCTGCCGTCTGGTAGAGACACTTCCGTATTTCGTCCCGCAACTTCGCGCAGATCATCAGACTGCCACCGTTTCGTTAGGCAAGTTTATATAAACCGGTTCGTTCTCACAGAGTTGTCGATCGACCACCCTCAGAGCATAATCGACCCTGGACTTATCTTGTTTGGCCTCTACACGTAGCATCTGATCGGGAAACAACAAGTCTAACCGTGTCCGTAGCCTCCGCTAGGGTCTGTTACCAGTCATTTCGTTCGGTGTGAAGCGACAAGCAAAAAGGAATTTGTCTAACATTGTTCGCAGTGGAGCCGGCACTTGTTTTCGAAGCCCATTTGGACTGCCCTTTCAACTAATCCATTAGAAGCTGGGTGGTAAGGGGCCGAGTTCGCATGACGTATGCCGTTGTTTTCCAGAAACTCCTGGAATTCCTGTCTAGTAAACACATATCGATTGTCTGCCACCAAAGTGTGTGGTATACCGAAGGTTGTAAAGCATGTTCGCATGCATGAAACTGTAGTCTCTGATGTGACTCGTCTTAGCGGGAAAACTTCGCTTCATTTCGAGTAAGCGTCGATCGAGAGAAGAAACACCTTCCCGTCGAGTGGGCTGAAGAAGTCAGCATGTACGCGCTCCCATGGTTTACTGGGCCATTTATATGGGTTCAGTGGCACAGAAGGGGCGTTTCGTCGTGTGCTTCGACATGTGTCGCAGTGTCGGATTGACTCTTCAATGTCTCTGCCAATATTCGGTCACCACATATAGGATCGCGCAAGCCCTTTAATCCTCGTTTTTCTCGGGTGAGTATCGTGCAGCTCTTGTGGAACGTTGCCACGCAGGCGAAACGGCTGACCACAATGGTGCACTCTAGCAGGCTGCAGCCTAAGAACGTGACACGATTCCGAGACGCCTGTCCGTATGACACGGGTTGCTACCCGACCGACGGTAGCACGGCTGTCACACCTGAAGCTGATGTAATCAGACCGCCATCATCACACGGGTTGCTAGGTGACAGAGCGCGACAACAGCTGGCCAGTGCGGACCGCAAGCAGGTCTTAAATCTGTCCATGGCAAGTGGCTTAAGTCAGCTCACGAATTTACAACAGGTGATGATAGATTGTGACCCCTAAAATGAATCGTGTTCTGTGCCTAATATACTTCGGTGTTCTGTTTTGTCACCGGACGGACTGGCAGTGGCAGATGGACGGCAGCGTTACAACAAATATCTGGACACGATCGGGGTGGTATGATTGCTCTGGATCCCCAGAGTAGACATCCATCTTCAAGACTAAGCTCGGAGCATCGAGTAAAGTATGATAGCAGTTGCGGTTCACATTTATCAGGCCATACCCTGGATACTAAACGCTTGACCCTGGCAATTAGTATGTCCCGTTCGGTTTCATGACGGATATCTGTGCCTATCTCCGGATTTCTCTCTAAATGCTGAAGCAAATTAACCAGTTCAGCGAATTTCAGTACGAAATCGGGTAAGTGACTTAACGGTAAGCGGCTCAGAGCCTCGGTGACTCCATTCGCTTTCCCAGGAACATATGGGATTTTGTAATTGTAGGCCGAAAGCAGTAAGACCCAACATTGCACACGACGGGACGCCACCTGGTTGATACATTTTTCCTCACCGATCAAAGTTAATAACGGTTTGTGGTCTTTAAAAATTTCAAATTTCCTTCCCCTATGGTTAACTGGTGAAAGTTAGTGACCCCGAAGATAACTGCTAAGGATTCTTTGTCTAGCTGGGTGTAATTCCTCTCCGCTAGTGCCAAGCTCCTGGATGCAAAAGCTATGGGTCATTCGGCCATGCCTTCCATTTTGTGAGATAACACGGCTCCGAGCCCTGTGGCTGATGCGTCACCCTCGAATAGTGGAAAGTGACCGATAAACTCAGGCGGATGGACTTATGATGGGAATGTCATTTCAGAGTGAACGAATGGACCAAACCGGTGAGCCAGACAACCAATGGGAGACGGACATAACGGATTCGATCACTGAACACGGATTGGCCGGCATTCGTGTGTTACTCATAATTTGTTTAAGTGAGTCAATGGGAGAACCACATCTGGTCAGAAGTGCCGTTAGGTATGGACGTGAACGGGCAATTTATACCGAGGAGTTTCGCTTGCCAAACATGCTGTAATTGTAGTTGAGTTGACTTTGCCGAATAAACGCTTGTCACTGAAGGACTGAATTCTGCAACAGGACGCACGTTACCCCCACCAAAAGGTGGCGTCCACAGCGAAGGCCAATTCACCGATTAGGGATCCAATACCACTTGAGGGAGATGAAAAGCCCGCACATTCAGACTCTTTCCACATTCAACGACAGACTAAATTCTTCAACTTTATCCAAATGTACTTATAAAGATTTCGATCTGTTTCAATAATTATTGAATCAATAAATAGTACAACCAGATCAACTGCACTTTTATGTGATTGCTGAACACAAGAAAGGGCTGTTAGTAATCGAATATCAAGGATGATGAGTGCCGGATATGCGTTGGTTTGACAGTGGTCTGCTGTTACCGTGGTAATGCGTTTAGAAAACCGGGAATAGCGATTGAGGGAACTCAATCGCATGGAAACCGTAGAACGTTTGCCCATCCACTATTATGTGAGTAGAAAAAGTGGTGGGCCTTCAAACTGGGTAATCAAGGGCAACACACATTGGTATTCACAACATGCAGCTCCTGATTGGGCATGAACCATGAAGCCACCGATTATTGCGTTCAACTGAACGAAAAGAAAAGCTCTGGTTCTATAGAAACTGTCCCCCTTCCAGCTACGGCCGCAGTAAATCCATGAGTATGTATCAGACTGTCCACTAGATGGTTGAATGCTGTGCCATAGAACCATCGTCTCTGAAGAGCCGACTTTCGAAACAATCATGATTTCACACCCAAGGTGTGCACCTGGATTGCATGAATAAAAGACTTAAAATGTAATCAGCAAGACGCAACAGCCTGCGAGACCAATGATTAAATCCGAGTAGGCGCATGGTAACAGAACGCAAGCACTGTGTCCGGTATTGCATTAAGGGGGAATAAAATTTGCCTGGTCAGTTGGTCGGCCATCATCATCACTATACACGTTAGCTGCAGGTGAAAAACACCACAGCTATTGTGCCGCAATACAAAGGACAAGAAAAAACAATGGCAAGCCGACTGAGCCCCCAGTAACCGATGCACATCGTTCCGGAGAGCTAACAGCCGGATGTCGTGCCGCAAAAAGTTGTTATGCCTAATGAATGCGATCGTGAATGGAGGGGGAGGCTAAGCAAGGGGGTGATGGACAAAGGCACTCACAACACAAACGCCACTGGGGTCGGCTCCTAGCCATATTAGCAAGTGTGTCCAACCAAACGTGTTCATCGTCCATAGGACCCCAGAGCCAGGCAGTCGGGGATGCACCAACCAACTATGGTCGGTACCATGAAGCTGAACCATACACCCACTCATGCAGAATCAATACGAGAATCCCATGTGTAAGCAAAAATCAACAGATAAATACTTTAATCTACAAATATCAAACGTGCCAAAAACCTTGTGCGATTTGGGAAATCCGCTCAACACAGTAAGACCACATGGAGTGACAATCTAAGCTGGACCAGACAAGCAGTTTTGGACGAGGGATGAAGTCAAAGAAAGTCACACAATGGTATAAATGCCGTGAACGAAAGAGATATCGTGGGTGTGAAATCCGGTTGGAATTCAGTTCACAAATGGTGGATGGGGGAATGAAATCCGTAAGCATCCGTGTGTGCAGAGAACGAAAAGCAGTGGGCAAACAACGGCGTTTCTCAAATCCGTGTGGCGCAATGGGGGACTGTATCGCCAAAGGCAGGAAAGGACCGAAGGCAAACACATGAGGCGGAAGCGTGTGGAACCCAAATGTGTTGCAAGACGGGGGAACTGAGGAGAGGGAAGATCAATCGACAGGAGTGCCAAGTGACTGCGTTCATATTTCCTCCATGAGACGGCTCTGTGCCGGACGAACTGAAAAAGAAAATGCAGTCACTCTGTGATGCTGGAAACAGATTCGTAGGTGCAGATACCACAATGCAAGTAATAAACAAGTACTGAATCAGGATTGTATTCTTGTTCCCTAGTTAAGGTGAGGGTGCAAGCAAGAAAGTATCGATTCTAGTATCACCGATGTTGTGTCCCGTCGGCTGGACGCATGTGAACGTCTTAAGAGAAAAACAGTCGTGGCCGAGAAGAGCAATAAGGAAAAGAAGCGAGATCGAACAGAGCGGAATCAGCCCGATCACATGGTACACAATCTCTACGCTTTCTAAGACGGTGTCAGAATGTGTAGTTCATACAACTTACCAAACCGAATGTACTTTCCAGGAGGCCAAGTCGAAATTGATATGATTAACACGTCGGCTTGTAACAAACGAAGCAAATAATAACGAAACAAGCAGCACTTTTGCTAAGGATAATTGAACAGGTCCAGTTCGATTGCCAAATCGACTATGTATGGGATAAAGGGGAACTGTGTACCAGATTCGCACATGAATCGTAACGCGACAACACCCTGATTCTTCTGAAAGTCAAGTCGTCTTCCGCTCCAGAAGAGAGATTATCGACCGTAGCTTCGCATTTTGTCAATCGCCACTGACCTGATGGCTGCCTTGGATTGTGCTGAGCGTACCTGTTTGCGACTATGCGTAGCTCAGGAGAGTGTAACTTCGAAATTTACTTATACACTTAAGTCTACATAAGGGCTCACAAAGTCGTTTAGGGGTCCACATGAAACAGCCTCTTGACCTCACAGTCCACGTGATATTCAAGATGAAAAGGGGTTGGTTCTCTTTCTTAGTCCCCTTTTTAGGAGTGAGGTGACAGCCGAGGAAAACACGAAGTATGTTGCATCTGACCAAGCTGCTACGCAAATACTGAGAAGTAGGCTGACACATCGCACCGAAGGAGCAGCGAAGAAAGGTATTTACAATGCGCCGGCACTCGTACCGACGCTTCGCTGCCACGCAACCACTAGAAGCCGTGAGGTCGCTTGCACCTACGCACACTCGAACTGGTGCCCAGTGGGTTAGGAACCATAGGTCTAGGTCGATCAGCCGTAAACCGGCTGTGTAGGCTGGAAGCACAACAAATGGCGCAATCCTGGGTGTACACCGCAGTAGTTTCCACTATCATCTCTTTAACTGGCAGGTCGTTTACCTATTAATGGCCTTACCGTAGAGGTCATATTGCACACATCACCGAGACCCTTTTGGGTTTCCAATGTTTCAATCCTCTGTAGGGACACCGCCTTAGTAGCAGAGTTAACAGCAAAGTATTCGCCTACAGTTACCGTAGATTTAGTAATGTTGCACTTTTTTTCACTCTGCTTGACGCCCGGAAACCAAACAGAAGGACCTGAAGTCAAGACAGCTGCCAGGGTTTTAATTCCATGAAAAGTAACCGCAATTCAGATATACGACTCTGCACACAAGTCCCCGCTATCCAGTCATTCGTGTTTTGACCATGACGCCCGACTCTATCTTGCTTGACTGGTCGTCTGTTAGGGCGATCAAACGGACTACGTTCGCTGTGGGTACTTGAACGCAGCTCCTGCACTTGGTCTGAAGAGATTGCCACCCATCTGTTCTCTTCCATGATAAGACCGGTGTTTGAATACGGCTCACCCGCCTATTTTCCCATCACAATAGGTGAGATGCAAAGAATTGAACTGATCAAGCATGTAGCTACCCGGCTCATCCCGTTTACGGGGTATGTCGAACGAGGACCGATGTAGCAAACTAGGGCTGTATATCCTGTTTGCTTCCAGTTGATCTCATTATGACGCATCGGATATTGCACATGGGCCACTTCCCTATGTTGAAGCCGCTGCTGCAGGTTGGCGCACCAAGCAGCGCACAGGAACACCGGTACAAACTAGTGGTACCGGATTTAAAGCGTATAGCACACCGCTATGTTTCGAGTGTCCAGTGGTGAACTATTGAAACAAGTTTCCGGCGACGCTAGTCGAGGCGAAATCGGTGTCGGAATTTAAGAGATTCCTTAGTGCCCACTTTGTGGACTATAGATATTGGAAGCGTACCGCACCCGGATAAGATGTAGTGCAGGTGCAATATGCTACCACCGCGCAGGAATCAGCGACGTGATTCCGCGCATGTGCCCGATCCACCTACGATGGAGCAACACAGAATTTTATCCCACTCTCTATTCTCAGTATTCAGCATTCAGTACTCATAATTGCTCGCATCGCTGATCCTGTACCGCGCTGTCAGTTCGATTGGGCCACCGAAAAATAAAGATCTGAAATACGTTCACCGCGTACTGGAGACAATATGAGATTAGCTGTGGTTGATTATTTATTTCTAGGAATTATACTTCATAAGTGGTTAGAGTGTCAGTTTTAAGGTAGCACCTCACTGGTCTGTCGGTTAACTTGAAACCGTTCCCGTTAGCTAAGTCACGTGCTCTGAATGTCGCAGGCTTACAACTGTGGGGCGTGCTGTTTACAGATACCAAAGGGTTGAGTAAAGCCTCAAATTGGCCACAGAACTAGAAAGAGAAGCTTTCCAGCATGATACAATCGCAAAGCTAATGATGCATTTGTATTCGGTTGTTAGCCTCTCAGTTTGACAAAAATAAGAAATTTCGTTCTTATTTCCCTGAATTTTGTCCATGTTTGCCTTCTCTATTTTTCTCGATCTAACAAAGTGTAACGGACTGGTTCATGGTAACTAGACCAACTGCACATTGATGGCCTAATAACAGCCGGCCCAGTGAACTAGCTCGCACTCAGCACATTCGCAGACTAAGTGACAAAACAACTGCAGCTGAGCTAACAAGGTGACTAACTCGAAACAACCACCTCGCTCAGTTTCCGTTTCACGGTAATATAGGGTGGGGAGTCGCTGGGTTGCCGAATCGGAGTCGTTTGCGTGGTTGATATCTCCGGAGGAGGAAGTGTGGAAAGGCACCGGACAGTAGTGGAAGACGTAGAGCTGCTGAGGACGCCGGAACTAACAGCACCAAGTTTCCCTGAGGAATCAGGAAGATGAAGGGGATAACGGAGACCTGGTAATTGGACGGAGAGAACCACCGGTCTTGGATGTGCGATGTTGTCTTGTACCGGAAACGCAACCGGCGGTTGAAACGAGTTTCCACAAGGTGACGAAGCCGGTTGACAGGACATGGGGGATTTCAAACAATTTGGTTTCAATTGATAGGTTGACTCTTCCTGTCGTAAAGGTGTTTTGCAGGGTTCCTAAAGGAAAAGAAGTCGTTAAAGAGCGACAAAGGTAACCGGAATTACAAACAAGAACGAAATCCGTGAGCAGGTAAACGCCACTGAATGGAAATAAACGCCCCAGAATTAACTACGCATACGGCAAAAACAAACGTACGCGAGCAGTTGATCCTGATGACTCCATAGGATTCGAGGGCGAAGAAGTTGCGTTGGTCGGCTGTCTGTTGGCGTCATGACTCGCAGTGTCAACATTGGTCAACGTCAACATGGTGTCTCGGGACATCACCAAAATACGCCGCGCCGTGTCCGAAATCGTTGTCTGTGGAACCTAAAACCAGAGTGTATAACCAGACAACACAAATCGCAAAACAGGTGAGACTGATTAGAAGAGGAATCGGGGCAAACAATCACAAGAGTTAAGCAGAGGCGAAAGATGCATTCACGTAAGCCTACCAGACCTGAGGTCCTGAACACAACTGTCCCCTTTACCTAGGCTCCAGAACATTAGAGGAAAAGGCAACAGCATTTAAAGATTATTTACATGCAAACAATGGTTGGAATAAGATGGAACTTGGAGATATTGTAGAAAATAGATGCTAGGCAAAGTACCAAAAATTAGGTACATCGATATGGCGTCAGAATCTGAAAATACCGAAAAATCGGTAAAGCGATCTGGTAGGGTTAAAGCAACAGAAGCACGAAGGGAGGGAAGCCAGAGTCTTTAAAGGTGACATTGTAAAATGACAACTATGAAAAATAGCCTTGTGAAGATATCTGAAGGCGAAAAGGTCATTCACAAGCAAGAACATTGGTGCAAATAGCAAAGAAGAGATAGTACAACGATGTACACGGATACGTGTTGAGTCTACCGTAATACCCAGTGTCGTAAAATGGTGCTACAGCGCTGCAACAGCCTTGCCAAACCCACCCAGTTCATCGGTGCCAGTACACCATCGGACGGAAACAACAAATGTCGACACAAAGTACTCATTTCAGAGCGGAGCCCTCCCTACGGAAACTGCCGCCAAGTGTCTACTCATCCGAGCAGATCACAATGCAGTTGCCCTAAGTGAGAACACGGCCAACGTATCCCGCACAGTTTCCACTGAACTCGCCCCCAATCACACCATTGTATCAATCGGACTCTCTTCAAGTCTGCCTCCTGAGCTATGTTCATGTCAATGCTTTAGATACCGGGCATGATAAAAAGCTGTGATGTGTCCAACTTCGCAACAGCATAGACCCCGGACCATCTCTGCCCGGATATAAGATCAGTACATGGCAACTCATGTGCCAACAAACGTACGTCTTTCCTTATAGAGGTTATGCATTTACTACTGCTTTATTAAGGTAGAAGGATGAAGGTGTAGAAAGCATTGTTGTCTTGGTTGAGTCAGTAAAAGCACTCTTACTATTGGCCAGTCTTCTTTCCCTGAAGTCTCGGTGTAGCTGTGCGGAGTTTACGCGTTCCGTTACCCCTCAGTTACGAGTTCACGTCCGCCGGCTAAGTTCACAAGCCGCTACAATTCGAATCGTCTAGGCCAGGGGTGTAAAACACGCGACCCGTGGGCTGTATGCACCCCTTTGCAAGCAACACTGGAGTACACACAAAGGATACTGTAATTTGGAAACTAAGCGGCCAAAATGGCAAATTTTCTAAGTCAAATCGTATAAGTGTCCCCCACAGAAACATGGCATACTGCCCTTTATTCAGGATATCGTTTACACCTTGAAATAATCAATCACCTCTTAAAATATTTCAAAAGCACGACAAACAATAATGCAGCAGCGAAGCATTCAAGTTAAGAATTAACACTCCACATCTATGCTGTGATTAAGCCGCCCAATGGGATTTGACTGGTTACTTCAGTAAACATTCTCAAATTATGCTTGTTAGGTCCATTTGTTACTGGGGACTCAGCCGGCGTGCCTCTGCTGTTGTTTTTTCTTCTTGTCTTTTGCACTGCAGCACAACAGCTGAGGTGTTTTTCACCAGCAGCAAACGTGTATAATGATGATGATGATACGCCTATCCCACAAGGATTTCATTGGTTGTCGGCCGTGCACACACTGCTCGGTGTGTACCGATTATATGCGCGACTGCACTGACTGCACGCGAACCGATATCACCTTCGTTCTCTCGTACAACTTTTGATGATAGAGTGGAATGGTTTCCCTAAAATACAATGAACACTGTTCCGATTTCACAGGAGCTTTATGATGGCCAGCTAAGAGAAAAAGAACTGTGAACGAAGAAGGTCGATTGTTACAATAAAATGGAAGGCAGGGTATTTTTTCAGTGGTGAATGGAAAAATGCATTGCGTAACATGCAACATCTTTGTCACGCCGAATCAGTAAAGCCTGAAAAGACGTTATGACCCGAACCACCGACTTTAGGATAAATATGTGATAAGCACGTGTTTCAAAACTCAAGGAATTGAAGGGTAACTTGAGACAGGCCTAGTTTACAAATGTTGATAAAGAGAAGATGATTTCCGTCACTGTAAGGTATGAACTCAGGCGAAGGATCGCCCTGAGTAAAAAATCTTACAGTGAAGAAGATTTCATGAAGGAATGTCTTGTAAGGGCAGCTGAAATTGGGTGTCCAGACAAAGCGCACTTATTCGAAAATATTTCATTAAATAGGAACAGTTGCTGAAGGAATTGATGGAATGCCACATGATTTGAAACAATAGCTGAAAGTCACATCATCCGATTTAGAGTATCCTTCAATTGCAATTGATGAGACTATTGATATCACTGGAATAGCCAAGTTTGCGGTTTTCATCAGGGCATATAACAACGATTTCAATAGTTATGAGGAACTGATTGAACTGATTTCAATGCACGACACTACAACAAGCCAGGGGATCTTAAAGAAAGGCAAGAAGTTTCTGTGTGAGTATGAATTGGATTTATTTACGTTCGCATGCTTATCTACCGACTGTGCTGCGAATATCGCTAGTAGACATAATGATGTTGTTGCCATGTTACGCACAGAAGTTGGAAAGTCGCAGCCAGATTCACCATATGCACATTTTCACTGCATTATTCATCAGCAAAAATTTGTGTTCAAATAAGTTAAAATTGGATCATGTGTCCAGTTTGGTCACAAAGACAGTGAAGTATTTCAGAGGCCGTGCTCTCAACCACTGTCAATTCAAGCAATTGTTGGAAGACATGGATAATCAGCCTATGGATGTTACATTCTACACAGACGTCTGCTGGCTGTCATGCTGAAGAGGTGTTATTTGTTAAGATAAGAAATAATGATGCTTTTAGAGATGAAAGTTCAAAATACAGAAAACATGAAAGATGCACCTTGACTCAATTATTAGGGATTCGCCGTGAAGAGTAATGCTCAATTAACTGATCTTCATTTGAAATTGAAAGGCAAAAATAAACCCATCACTTTGTTTTATGAAGACATGAAGTGTTTCGTTACAGTACTAAGCTTAAGGAAGTCACAGTTGCCAAAAGGAAAGTTTGTTCAGTTTCGTTACTGCAAATGGCTGAACGACAGTGCCAATATTGAATCTGCACTTAGCTTTGCGAAGTATGATAGTCCCCAGGAAGTAGGGGCAAAAGAAGTTCAGGAAAGATTTCATGATTCCACATAGTTTGCACACCAATTCGCATTATTCTCAGCATCATACACCTTTGATCTTGCTAAGGCAGAAGAAAGCGTGCAGACAGAACTATTAGAAATGCAGTCTGATTCGTCCCTCCGAGTAAAGTACCTCGAAGTTAGAGAGTAGCTGATCTCTTTTCATACCTACTGAAAAGTCTAAAGTTTGCCACAATGATTATTAAAAAAATGTTCGGTGCTACCTATGTTTGTGAGCAGTTATTTTCCTACATTAAACAACGAAAGCTTCTCAACAAACACGGCTGACTGATAAACCCTTGTCATCTCTGATCAAAATCAAAACTGCCTAAACATTTCGGCCGGATATAGCAAACGTCAGAAAAAAACAACGCAAATGTGCATTTTGAACTGTTGTAATGCTTGTAAAGTGCATCCGCTGCTGACAAATACCAGTCTATGTTAGTGTTAAAAGTGAATTTTCAAAGCTTTTGTTAAACCACCTAATTACTTAGCACTCATGGATATCTACAACCACTAAATCATATGTATAAAAACCATAGGCCACGAAGTGACAATAATATATAATATAGATATACATGTATATAGGCCACAATGCCCCATGCTGAGGCTGATGTTGCATTTATGATGCTTCTTCACCGCAGTTGGGCTAAACCAACTTATACTAGGTCTTTTTAAGCCGGATATATTTCATTCCACTTAATTTGCTTTGTTCTGTCTACCTGAATAATCTACTAGTAACTGGCAACGTCGCTTACGCTAAGCATGATTACCTTCGTTAACTTGATTGTGTTTGTAGTAGTTGCTGGATCACTTATGGACATGTTTTACTTATCGCACATTCGTCGGTAACTAGCTTAATTCATATGCTAATTTAGGGAAGAGTTATGTCTGCATAGCCGTATTCTTTAACATATATCTTATTTGATAATGTCATTACAAGTGGTTGGCTGTTGTCTAACATCCCCAGTGTGGCTGCGCTGGATGTGCACGTGGACAAGATGCCTATCGGTCTATTAACCACTACCTTGTCCATAATGGCTTTAGGAGACAGTTGATCGCTGCTGGAGGGGGCAGGGTGCACGGCCCTTGTGGTCGTGCTAGGCTCGGAGAGTGGTTCCATACACTCAGTGTGGAGCGGACTACGGTCCAGCCACCGCCTTGTGTGCGCTTGATTCCCCAAATACAGCGTGCTTGTGTTTGCCTGTGAAGGAGTGTGGGCCGGCTCCGTTGACGAAACGTGGCTCCTATCCATATGCCTCCCGGTTTTATTCTTTCGGGTTTACACTGGATAGGGGGTGTGTGGTTGGAGCTGTGGGTGATGCAGCGCAAGTCACCCATGGTCCCTCCGTAGGCGCAGACATCCTGTGGCTGGCCACAGTGACAGGCAAATCCGAAACCAGATGCCACCAACTATGTAGGCCACAAGTACTTGTCGTATGCGGCCCGCATGACAAGAAATGTTTGCCCATGTGGACCTACGGGGGTCCCGAGTTTTACTCCACAAGTGAGAGTTCATGCGTCCCGACTAGGACAGATAAAACCCAACTAGGACGTCTATAACGCATGGGGAGAGGAAAGTGAGACCAGGTTCCACTATACACAACTAGGGTTTGGTAACCTATGGGAAGTCGAGTTTATTATGCGCAGGCATGAGAGTTCGATAGGAAAGTGACACGCCGACAGTTAGACAGAGTTCGAGTCTATCAACGGAACCGTCATAAAAGAAATAAGTCATATCGTTAACATAAGCTTGGGAAACTCACAAAAACGGCAACTATTCGGTTGTTTGAAGGTGTGACTAGATGTAATAAATCAGCGAACAGCTTAGGTAGGTGATGTTAGGCAAGGAATATGTCAAAAAGCGTAGATGTCTCTCGGCACTATTTCATTAGTCCATGACTAATCAGACAGAGGACTTACCAAAGTCTTCTCGAGTAGCTTAGTGTTAGAACGGTTTACAGCCGAATGTGAGCCGCATTTGGAATCCCTTGAAGAACGGCGATTCCTAGAAATATCCTGTGGTAGTCGCTGATTAGTGGAATGGGAAGCTTACCTGACAGTTCATCAGATCACATACAATGGAACAGAAAGTGCGAATGAAGTCACGGCGAAGTGTCTCATCGAGATCGCATTTCATTTCTTGCGAATAAATCGACGCCAGATCTGAAACGGAGCATAACCTAAAAGCTCGTTAAAACAAAGGGAGATTACGAGAGGATTCTTGGGTCTTCTTCTAGTAAATGAAGGAGGAAGAGGCCAACATGATCGCGGAACTGAGAACTCGCTCCGTTAGAAGGCATGCCAAATTGGTCGCACTACAGCTGACGGTGGAAATAAACAACTACAAGGAGAAAAATAAATGAACTGTGCCACTGTTCATTTCGGGGCCTGGCTTGGCCATACAATGGTTCTGATAAACAGCTAACGAGATTACATGAGAACCATTGTGCGGGACCAGTTAACTAACAAAGAAGGCGGAGAGCAGTCAGGTGGCTTTTGGTGCTTTATTGAGAAGATCTGTAGTAACCAGACTAAGCTAAAGAGCCACCACATATCTGCAGAAACCCTGGACGACCGTTTCCTCCTATGAAGACTGGTGGCTGACTTGCTGAAGTATCGCCTTGTGGTGCCAGCCGGGTGGTCCTAGTTTGCCCCGTTCCAGCGAAGTGTTCAGCGGCACTGTTCCAGGACGTAGTGGGTTTTGCCTGGCAAACGTTCTCCCCATAAAAGGCCATAAAGGTTTGTTTAAAAACACTGCAACGTGGCGAATGTGACTTGCCACCAAATGAAGTCACTGCTCCTCGCTCGCAGAGCACTGTATCCCAGCGAGTGCGTGTTGACATCATGTGGAGGATTAGGTCCCTGCTTGGTCTCGTAGTAAACAAAAGACGTATGAACTCAGTATTCAATCAAGGACTTCCAATGAGCGCGATTACCTGAATTCGTCTCGTTGTCTTGCGGGCAGGCTATTTAACCGAAGACTCAGAGTAACATCCCCTAACATAACTCCCTACTATCGACTTGGGCGACCAGGTAGTATCACACCCACTGACAAACCATGGAAGTTTTATTGGCTATGCTGCGTTCAACTGCTTTTGCTTCTGCTACTCACATACCTTCACACGCCACCTGTTAACACGTTAACAATCGCTGTTATCAGATACCAACTGATTCCTGGTTCCATGATTCTACTCCGATAATTTCGTAGACGACCACAGACCTCGCCCAGTGGCCTCGAGCCTCGTTCGTTCTGGCATGCTTCAATGTAGGTACAATCATGCAGATCAAGCAGCAGGCTGGTCTTGAGCGCACCTTGGATCCCTCGACATCGATGTTTGCTGTCTTTCCGGAACGCGCTTGCAAGATCCCAGTACTGTGATTGAGTTGAGAACTCCCACTGACCACGGAGCCATATCTCACCTACGTCTTTCAGGTGACGCAGCCTTGACTGGCGTCGGTGCAGCGCTAAGTAATGAGGCCGAGGCCACACTATTGGACTGCCTCCCGATTAATTGCCCATTGTGGGCAGTTCGGCATCGGGGATCATGCAGGATCAATAGCCGTCGTGAGGAGAGATTCAAATTGCTTGTGAGCTCAGCGTACCCTCCAAATGACTGAAGCTGCAACTCAGTCAATGATGATTTTCATTGTGAACTTCCCCAACTCTTGAACAGAGTTTGCAAATCCGATATTTTCCCTGCTGGAGATCTCAACGCAACGGTCGGTCGTCTATTATCAAGTAAAATTCACCTAGGTGGTCACAATGTGTTGGTGGCCGCTGCTCCAGTAATGGAGAGAAACCTCATACTGTGCGAAGACAATGGTTTGTTGCTCTAGAGCAACAGCTTCAGGTACTCGAGGTGCTCTGCTACATGGAGCCTCCTTTCTGTAACTCAATCAACGTCTCAAATTGACTATATCAGTTTCAGACGGCAAAGTAGTGTAAGGGATTACAGATTCATTTAGTCCACATTTCCTGACTTAGACCATGCTCTTGTTTGTCCAAAGTGCGGCGCGAGTTTTGAAGCGTCTCGAAAATAAAGCACCATAGACCAGAAGTAAGTAGAATATTTACTCCCTAGATCCAGCAGAGCCACCAATCTTTTCTGGCCGATAAACTCAGCTGCGACTCACCGCAAGACATTGATGAATACTGAACGTTTATGCAGAAGACCATGACCTCAATATCTTGGAACATATTTGGAACCGATCGGGAAGTCATCATTTCAGAAAACTTGGTAAACGACCGGTTAATGTATTTATGACGATACACAACGTTTCGCATTTGACACAAATGCTTCATCAGGCGAAGTGAATTATCTAAACATTGGCATTTTATAGCGATCATGGCTAAACTACATACAAAGACGAATCAATTTGCAGTTCATCTATGAATGATTACAGCGGTCAAAGGTCAATATGTTCGCGGGTACACTGTAGTTTGTTTCAGTCAGGGTCAAGTGGGGGAAAGAAATTGCCGGTCCGTAGATAATTACATTGTGGTTAACAATCTTATTTGAAACGTTGCAGGGAACTTGGACACTGATAGAATTTGGCTTTAGTACTTCGGAGTTTGGTGGAGGGTGGGTCGATAGTTCATTCCGTGTATCATCATAAATACATTAACCGGTCGTTTACCAAGTTTTCTGAAATGAAGACCATGACCTCTTCCGGACAGTCAGACTATGGTCTCACTCAGTACCCTAGGAAGGCATGGATCTCCACGCGCTCCTTGTATCTATTTGACCGCCGTTGTACTATCCCAGCGTAGTCTAGTCATAATGAACTGCGTCGCTCTGTCGGCCGGCAGATCAAAAAAAGTCTACGCAGTGATCGCGAAGCCTAGTGGCCTCAGCATACTTCGGAAGTGGAGGTCGCGCCCTTTCTGGCAGTACTCGCAAGCACTTCCAGCGCATTCGGTACACTGGCCACAGAAAGCCTGGTGTCAGTGAGAGTAATTGTGAAGCCAATTGTTCACCACTTGCTAACCTGAATCGTTTATAGTGACAATATACAAGAATGGCAGTCGCACCGACTGTGCTAACCATTGCGGTATTAGCCTAATGCTTGTAGTGAGAAAATAACTGTCCTAAATTCTCTCTCGTCGCTTTACTGCGGAGCAGGAATACCGGAGTATGGAAGAGTAGGCAGGTTTCCGCCTAGGAAGTGGCTGTATAGACCACATATTCACGTTTCAGCAGGTGCTAAAACAGCGCCAAGCATAACTCAGGCCGGCAATAGCTGTGTTCCCCGACTTCAGGAGTGCGTTCGATTTAGTCGATCGATGCATTCTGTTCGAAATATTGGCGCGAAAAGCGTCCCAAGAATATGTGAACATTTTACGTGTTTTGTACTCGAACACTATAGACCGCGTCAGGGTCTACGGTGACCCGTCGGATAGCTTTCCAACAAGTGGTGATCGTCTGGGTTGTCGAATTTCCCATTTTTGTTCAACTTCGTCGCGGACTCCATCATGCAGTTTTCCCATGAGGAATCTCATGGTGCGGGCGTCAAGATGCTGCTTGATGAAAGGCTAGCTGATTCTGATTATGCGGGCGATATCGTCTTACTGTTTAACGATTCCGGGGCGGTGCAATCAACCCTGGATAGCCTCTGTAGAGTGATCCCATAAGTTGGCATGCGCTTGGCCCCTTCAAAGTGCAAGACTGCGGCAGGACCGCCAGCCAACTGATGATCGCTTTACCCTAGACAGCGAGGAACTCGAGATAGTTGATCAATTCACTTATTTTGGCATCAGTATCCGTAACGATGGATGCATAGCTACTGAGGTCAGTTAACGTATTGGAAAAGCCAGAACGGCCCTTCTGATTTCGCGACATCGTTGGCGACAGAAAGGCGTTTCCCTCCGTTTGAAAGGCGTGTTTACAAGATCACAGGTAGGGTCGTCCTACACTATGGGAATGAGACTCGTCCCCTTCGGTCCAAAGATCTTAGGTACCTTCAAGTCCTTGATCATCGTTGTCTGCGAAGCATGGCTGGTGTCAGATGGCACCAGGGTGTCCGTAAGGAGGATGTGCGCAGGCGAGTACTAGGTGGTGATAAACATGCTAGCTCCCTAGAACAACAGATAGCACTAAATAAGTTGCGTTGGGTCGGGCACGTGCTACGTATGCCTGGTCACCGCTTACATAGGAGGGCCTTGTTTAGTCTGCCAGTGTCATCATCATACATCATCATACACGTTAGCTAGAGGTGGGGAACACCTCAGCTACTGTGCCGCAATACATAGAAAAAAGGAGAAAAAATGCAACTGGTGCAAGCTGGCTGAGCTACCGGTAACGGATGGGTATCGTTCCGGTAAGCTACCAGCCGGCTGCTGTGCACCTAAAAAAAATTACTATGCAAAATTATATAAGGCTAAATAATGAGATCGTGGTTGGAGGGGGAGGCTAAGAGGGATGGGGTGGGATAAAGAAACTCACAACACGAACGCCACTGAGGTCGGCTCTTAGCCATATCAGCAAGTGTGTTCAACCAAACGTGTTCATCGTCTTTCGGACCCCAACCAGGGAGCCGAGACGCTCCAACCGAGGCCAGCTCAAAAGTGAGAGCCTTCATTCCTCTCGACCAAGTCATCGCTTGCCCACCCCTCCTCTTCTTCCATCCACACCGCCGGCGCGCAAACAACACACGTCGCGGAAGTCGGTGGGCTGGCATGCGCAACACGTGGCCGAGCCATCGGAGCCTGGTGTGTGAAATAACGGTGCTGAACGGTTCAGTTCCTTTTCCTGTGCCATAAACAAGGCATCGAACAAGCTCGTTGCTCACGCGGTGTTCCAACCAGATGTGAGCTAAATTACGAAGGCACCGGTGGTCGAACGTAACTAGCCTCTTCAGGTCCACTGCTTTAAGCGGCCAGGTTTCACAACCGTACAGCAGGGTCAAACGTACTGCTGCACTGTACACTCTACCCTTCAAGGCAAGAGTGATGTCGCGCAGGCGCTATAAGTGGCGAAGGTTAGCAAAAGCGCCCCGAGCTTTTGCTATACGATTCGTGATTTCATCCTCAATCCCACGGGCGCTGATACAACTTCCCAGGTAGTTGAATTTTCGAACGACTTCTAGCTGATCCTCACCAAGGGTCAGCGTAGGAGGCGGTCCAGACCAATCTTGGAGAAACGCTTTGCACTTCGAGGGTGTGAAGCAAAGCCCGAAGAGACGGACAGCTAGTGCTAATCTGTCCAGTGCCGCTTGGCACGTTTTTGAGCTGTCACAGATCAGGGCAATATCATCAGCATACTCTAAATCAAGAAGTCGTTCTCCTGGGAGTAGCTCCACACCTAAGTCGTATCCTGTGAACGCGATTTCCATGACTTCGTCA